CAGGTCCTCACAGATCTCCACCATTATGGTCGGTTCGGAACTGCCACCTTAATTCCCTCCCGCTGCCTCTCCTGCCCCTCCGCCCCGCCGCTCCTCCGCCCTGCCCACGCCACTCCCTCTTACCACGACCGAATTCATATTCCTGACCCGAACTTTCCCAACGAGTTTTCCCGGGGCGTCGTCACTCGCCCGGCTCAAGCCTCGCGCGTCGCCCCCACTACTTCCGATCCTCTTCCTTCCGCTCCATGCAGCCGCTGCTCCGGTCGAACGGAGCGGCCCCGGCGGCGCCGCCGCCACGAAACCCGGGCCTCACCTCCAAGCTCCAAACTTTTACGCCGCCCACCGATCGTGCCCGGCCAACCCTGCACCTGCCGCCCCGTTTTAGCACGACGTGTGCCTTCACTCCACTCCACGCCGCGCCGCTCCTTCCTTGGGCGCCGGCCGACGCCGCCGCTATGCCGGACAGGCGTCCATCTTCGTCGTTTTGTTGATCAATGTTTCATGAGGCCCTCCCCTGCAGTAGCGGTCCGGTACTATCCGGCCGGCTGCTGCCGCTCCTGCCGCTGCTGCTGCTGTGCAATGAATTGAACGCTGAATAACCCATTTCCCCAGCAATTTGCATACACGGGGGGAGGTGTTTGTTTGCGCCGGCCGGAGTGGACTCGGGGCGGGCAGGGAGCGAGGAAGGTCGTTCACGTAGCGACCGGCGTGGACGGTAAGGGAGCGAGCAAGGTCGTTCACGTAGGGACCGGAGTGGACGGTACGGGAGCGAGCAAGGTCGTTCACGTAGCGACCGGAGTGGACGGGAAAGGAGCGAGCAAGGTCGTTCACTGGACGGGTGGGCCGCGGACCGTGCGCTCCCGTGGAGCTCTCCGCGGCGGGGCCGCGCGGCTTCTCGCCAAACCCGCCAAACTCACTTCTTCTTTGCCACCGCATAAAATTAGCTGGAATCCTCGCGGCCCAGCGCCACCACTGCTGTGCTGTGCCGCGCGCCCGGGGAGCGAGAGCGGCGCCAGCCACGCGGCCGCAGATTGAGTTCGCGGGAGTGACCGCGTCGGCGAGGGAGGCGGGGGCGGGGCGGGGATGGACAAAGCTTCCCCGCAAACACAATAACGTTTTGTTCTGCTGCCTTTGCATCCAATTTGCCGCCCTGGGGGAAGAGTGAGACAGAAAGACGCGCAGAGGGCGCGGTGCGCGGCGCACTCCCTTCCGCCGGGCCGCGTCCCCGTCCCCCGCAACAAGGACCGCGCGCCCCGCCCGCCCACGGTAACCGCGGACGCCCGGCGGCGCCCGCGGGCCCAGCCTCGACCTCGGCGCGGAGAGAGAGAGCGTAGTTTGGGTGCAGTAGTTTGAGGTGCACCCCCGAAACAAAGGGATAAGGGTGCCAGCAGGCCGAGTCGAGTACTCAACGTACACACCACCAGCAGCATACTCACTGCGACTGCGGGTACGCTCAGCAAATGGGTCACGTGAGTCACGTGATGAATTGCATTGACATATAAAATTCTATCATATCACTGAAAATTCCCGAAGAAAATTGACGTTTTCCCGAAAAATTTCTTGAATCAAAGCAGACGATTTACTAAGCGTGTGAGACGGCAGCAGCTCCCTTCCTCCCTCATTTTGTGAATGTTTATTGTGTAATCCGGGACCCGGCGAGCGAAACGGGTCGTATACAATCAGAGCTCCCTTCGTCAGACGACGACGACGACGACGTCCCCGCTGTTTTCATTTCATCCCGTCCCGTCCCACGTCCAGTTTGTTTATATCTGTGTAACCCACTTCCTTCACTCCTCGCTGGCTCGCGTGCAGCTCTCTCATGCAATATGAAGGCTCTCTCTGGACCTAGTGGCACTGTGCCCGTGCGCGCCCACATCCCCTCTCTTCCCCTCGTCCCTGCCCTTCTTGTTCCCCCCTTTGCGCCCCTCCTACCTCTTTCTCTTTTGCCTTATTCCCGTCCCTTTTTTGTTCACGTCACAACGGCAAGGGTCCATAGGCCGGCCCGTCCGGACGCCGCACCGAAAGGGCCTAGCTCTAGCGGCAGGGGCCACCGCTGCTGAGCCGCCCAGGCCCCCCCCCC